TCTTACTTTTTTCTTCCCTTCTTTCCCCCGGGGGCGTTTTTTGTCCCTTTCCCCGCCCCTCCCTTTTTTTCCTTCTGGTTTCCTTTTCTTCCATCCGCCGCCCCTTTCCCAAGTTCCCCCCCTTTTTTTCCCCTCCCCCCCCTTTTAAAATTTTTCTTTTTTTTCTTTCCCCCTTCCCTTTCCCTTTTTTTTTCCTTTTCAATTTTCCCTTTCCCCTCCCCTTCCCCTCCTTTGCTTTTTCTTTTTCCCCCTAAGCCGTCTCGCAAAAGCTTTGAATTCCTTTTTGTTTTTTTCCCCCTTTTTCCCCCCCCTTTCCCCCGAACACCCTAGATTTACTTCCTTTACAACCCCATTTTTTAATTATTAAACAACCTGGTGCATTACACACCCCGTCTAAGACCTACTTTTACGGGAAGTAGTCTCCCTCTCTCTACACCCCCAAACCTGAGCCCATTCCTCATAAAAATCTTTACAGCATTTAATAACTTACCCCCATTCCATATCTTGCAACATCGCCACATTGCCCCTCTATCCACTTCAATCCCTTTTTAAATCCATAAATGCAATAAAAATTTCCCCTCCTTAATCTAAATACTGTTCAATTATGCTTCAATGTAAACACTTGATCAACATCCCCTACCCCTCTGAAACCCCCTTTGCTCTCCGCAACCTACTTCTGTCTTCCCTCAATTCTTTCAATTTAACCCTCCCAAACTTTTCTGGTATACTCAATAAGTTTATTCCTCAAAAAAATTTTTACAGTCTTTTTTGCCCCCTTCCCCCTTTTATAAAAAGGGGACTTACATGCTCTCCCCAATCCCTGGGTACCTTCCCCCTTTATACTTTTTATTAAACAAAGTCCACCCACTCCAACACATCCCCCCCCCCTGCTTTAACTTTTCTGTCATGACCCATCATTTTCCATTTTTTCCCCCCCTTTCCATTTTACGTAATGCCTCCGTACCCCCCCACATTTACTTCGCTCTTTTACTCCTAAAAGATGGTAACCCCTCCCTGACCATGCATGAAATTACTGCCTCTTTTCTTCCTTAAAATTTAAAATTTCCTCAAAAATTCTCGCCATCTCCCAATACCTCTATCCCCCCCCCCATCTAAAACCCCCCCTACTCTGTTTTTAACTGACAAACCCCATTTTTTCCCCTAGGCTTTTTTAACTTGTTTAACTAAATCCAAAATTTTTTCTTATTTTCTTAAAAAATTTTCTTGACAGTCCTCCCCCACTCTATCATCGCCTCCTTTTTGCACTCTCTCACCACTCTCTTTATTTTTCTTTTATCTCCAATACTCGCTTTTCTTATAACATTTCTCTTTTAAAAACCTCTCAAAGCTCCTTTTTCTTTTTATCACACCCTTTACTTCATCTTTCCCACCAATCACTCCTTTTCCTCCTGCACCCACCCCCCTTTAAAACCCACAAACTTCTGCCCCACATTCTAAACGCATTTTAAAAATTTTCCCAACCCTCTTAAACCCCCCCCATACTCATTTTTGCACTAGCCCCCTTTCTGCCAATACGCTTATATCTCCCCCAAACTTCCTCCCCCCTTAGTTTATCCTTTCCCCCCTTTATTTGTTGTTCCCACCTTCCTCTTTTCCCCATCTACCTCTTATTTAACGTAGTACAACAAATAAATACCGTATTCGTTGCCCCTCTATAACATGTACATCCGGAGCCTCCCCATAACCTTTTATCCCAAATACTTCTAATAAACTACTTTCATTACGTGCTACATCATACCTTGTATATTTTTTACCCTCTTTTTATAAAATTGTATTTATTCCCAAATTTTTTTCTACACATAGCTCAATTAAAGGCCCCCATTTACATTACCCCCGGGCACCCCAAATTTACCTATACTCCCTCCATAACTTTTTTACCCACTTAGCATTAAATCCCCAACCACCATTACTCTCACACTTAAATTCAAAACTCCCCACGCATTCACTCAACATTTCCCAAAATCTCTCTCTCTCCTCTACACTTCTCTCTTCTCCAGGTGCATACACGCTTTTATAACCCATTTTTTCACATCCAATCTTTATTTTACTCCACATAATCCTTGAATTTATACATTTGTAGTCCCTTTTTCCTGCCATAGCTTATCCTTCAACATTATTGCTACTCCTTCTTTAGCTCTAACTCTATTTGAAACCCCTGACCTAACCCCATTTATTCCTCTCCACTGAAACTCTCCCCACCCCCTTCAGCTTTGTTTCACTTAAAGCCAGGACATCCACTTCTTCTCATTCTTTAACATCCACAATCATCTCTTTCTTATATCTGCACAACATCCACGCACATTCAGACTTCCCACTTTGACAATTTTCTTCTTCTTATTCTTTTTAGTAATCTTTACAGGAAAAGGGGTTACTAAGCCCATTGTTCCCGGCATTTTAGTTGACTTTTACAACACGCATGGCTTACGGAGGAAGATTCTTATTCCACTTCCCCATGGATATAAAAGGAAAAATTAATAAGACCAAGAACTATTAAGATAAAAATCAAAGAAAACTCAGATGAGTGTGTATAAATAAATGTGTACATGTATGTATAGTGTGACCTAAGTGTAAGTAGAAGTAGCAAGACATGCCTGTAATCTTGCATATTATGAGACAGACAAAAGACACCAGCAATCCTACCATCATGTAAAACAATCACAGGCTTTCGTTTTACACTCACTTGGCAGGACGTAGTACCTCCCTGGGTGGTTTGCTGTCTACCAACCTACTACCTACATATATATATATATATATATATATATATATATACATATATATATATATACATATATATATATATATATTATATATATATATATATATATATATATATATAAATATATATATACATGTATATATATATATATATAATAATATATATATATATATATATATATAATATATAAATATATAATATATATATATATATATATATATATATATACAGGAGGGCCCCACTTATACGGCAGGTTAGGTTCCAGGCTACCGCCGTAAAGCGGAAATCGCCGTAAAGTGGAACACCCTTTTTTTCCCCTTATAAATGCATACAAACACTAGATAACAAGTTTACACTAACATATATTAAGTTAGCAATAGAACCAGGCATCAAAAACAATAAAAAGGTACAATACACACATAGTGCACTCATTACTTACCTTAAAATATTATAGTCTTAATCTAGGGTGAGACAAGTAGTATTATTGTAAGAAATCAGTGTGGTATGTATTGTAATAGCCAGGCTACCTTACCAGGCCACCCCACCCACACATACTATTCTATGATATTTAAGCATCCCAGAGCGATAAAATGTATATACAGTTCACTCATTACTTACCTTAAAATATTTGTAGTCTTAATGTAGGGTCAGGAGTAAGTAAATGAGATAAAACGAATAAATGAGAGAGAGAAAGAATGAGTACATGAGAGGTGACAGGCGCAGAGTTATGTAAACAAACCAGGCTCCCACATCTTATATTTATGTTTATTTATTCTATTGTGGGGTGTATTTATCATCTTTTTATGTTATGTATCGTGTTTATTATATAATTTTTAAAAAATATCATGGATGGATTAATGAAAATGTGTATATTACCGTAATATACGACATTTAATGAGACTCGGTGAGTATTGTTATTATGGCGTCACTTGTGCAAGTCGTCTGCTACCACATCTCACATTTATGTTTATTTATTCTACTGTGGGGTGTATTTATCTTATTTATATGTTATGCATCGTGTTTATTATATAATTTTGAAAAAAAATATCATGGATGGATTAATGAAAATGTGTATATTACCGTAATATACGACATTTAATGAGACTCGGCGAGTATTGTTATTATCACCACTTGTGCAAGTCGTCTGCTACCACATCTCACATTTATGTTTATTTATTCTACTGTGGGGTGTATTTATCTTATTTATATGTTATGCATCGTGTTTATTATATAATTTTGAAAAAAATATCATGGATGGATTAATGAAAATGTGTATATTACCGTAATATACGACATTTAATGAGACTCGGCGAGTATTGTTATTATCACCACTTGTGCAAGTCGTCTGCTACCACATCTCACATTTATGTTTATTTATTCTACTGTGGGTGTATTTATCTTATTTATATGTTATGCATCGTGTTTATTATATAATTTTGAAAAAAATATCATGGATGGATTAATGAAAATGTGTATATTACCGTAATATACGACATTTAATGAGACTCGGTGAGTATTGTTATTATTATCATTTCTAATATGGCGTCACTTGTGCAAGTCGTCTGCTACCACATCTCACATTTATGTTTATTTATTCTACTGTGGGGTGTATTTATCTTATTTATATGTTATGCATCGTGTTTATTATATAATTTTGAAAAAAATATCATGGATGGATTAATGAAAATGTGTATATTAACGTAATATACGACATTTAAATGACTCGATGTATGTAAGTTTATTTAGGTACAGGTATACATAAGTATAATTATCAGAGTATATATAAAATATGAAATAACTTTTAAAAACATTTGAAATTTTGGAGTTTCCAGACAAAATGGAGAGACTTAGTGCTTACTGAGCTCATGGAGAATGTAAACAAACAGGGTGGGGCACGGTGACCGTATTAGAAAGTCAGGTGGGGGGAGCCGTATAGCGAGTTTTGGTCATAATTTGAAATGTCCGTATTAGCGGAACGCCGTAAAGTGAAACGCCGTAAAGCGGGGCCTTCCTGTATATATATATATATATATATATATATATATATATATATAATATTATTTTATGTAGGCATTTTCAAGCTTCATGTCACTTTTTTTCTATTTTTCAACATTTGTATAAAATTTTGTTTTATACTTTATCTGTACCAAAAACTTTGTGTAATTTTCATTTTACTTTTCCAGTTTCATTTGTGCACACAAAAGCTCTACTTTTGTTTTAAGTTTTTCCTTTTTGAGCTATAATAATATTTGTGATGTTTCAGATGATGACCCAACACACTTCAATCCATGGTTGGACTTAAGTGATCTACGTAAGTTGTTGACTGTTTTAATTGCTGTTTGTCCTCGGGAAAGTTGATACATGTACTTTATCTACTAATTCAGTTTTTGAGTTTATGCGTAGATTTTGTATAAATGTAGGCTCCAATTTATTGTTTAAAAGTTGTTCCTATTGTATTCTATTGATCACAATAATGTATCTACCACATCTGCTAAGAAAATGATAGGATGGATAATGAGAACCATCAAAACTAGGAATTCCAAGCCCATGATGATTCTCTTCAAATCGCTTGTTCTCCCTTGGCCGGAATACTGCTGCACTAACATCCCCTTTCAAAGCAGGCAAAATTGCAGATCAGGAAAATGTACAGATAACATAATAATAATAATAATAATATCTTTATTTACTACAAGTACATGTACAAGGTATACAGGTCTAGCTGACAACAATGACATACTACTATATAGAAAGCCTCTTGTTATGCTCCGCATGTCGGGCAAATTAGGTCAGTGTCCCAGGATGCGACCCACACCAGTCGACTAACACCCAGGTACCCATTTTACTGATGGGGAACATAGACAACAGGTGGAAAGAAACACGCCCAATGTTTCTACTCTGGCTGGGAATCGAACCCAGGCCCTCGCCGTGTGAAGCAAGAGCATTAGCCACCAGGCAGGTATAAGTATGACAAAGCTCCAAAATTACTAGGAACAGTTGAAGTTCCTTGATTTGTGCTCACTGGAATGCAGGCAAGAAAGATACATGATAATATACAGTAGGGCCCCACTTATACGGCAGGTTAGGTTCCAGGCTACTGCCGGAAAGCAGACATCACTGGAAAGCAGAACACCATTTTTTCCACTTATAAATGCATATAAATGCCAGGTAACAAGTTTACACTAACATGTATTACATAGAATAGAACGAGAACTAGGCATTAAAAACAATTTTTTTTTTTTTTTATTTAAAAATTTGAGCACACATACAGAGGTACAAAAAAATACAGATAAGAGCAGCATGCCAAAGCCACTTATACTATGCATAGCATTACGGGCTGGCTTAAAATTAACTTAAGATTAACTAAGCAATGATGAAATCAGTGATAAAACACACACACAGTACACCCATTATACATACTTACCTTAACATATATGTAGTCTTAATGTAGGGTGAGAGGTGAGTTTTATTTGTAGGAAGTCAGATTTGGGAAGTATGGTAGCCAGCCAGGACAGCCCTCCCGACCCCACCCACATGTAATATACTATTAATTTTTTTTTTATTAACACACTGGCCGATTCCCACCAAGGCAGGATGGCCCGAAAAAGAAAAACTTTCACCATCATTCACTCCATCACTGTCTTGCCAGAAGGGTGCTTTACACTACAGTTTTTAAACTGCAACATTAACACCCCTCCTTCAGAGTGCAGGCACTGTATTTCCCATCTCCAGGACTTGAGTCTGGCCTGCCGGTTTCCCTGAACCCCTTCATAAATGTTACTTTGCTCACACTCCAACAGCACGTCAAGTATTAAAAACCATTTGTGTCCATTCACTCCTATCAAACACGCTCATGAATGCTCGCTGGAAGTCCAAGCCCCTCGCACACAAAACCTCCTTTACCGCCTCCCTCCCCCCTTTTCCCTAGGCCCGACCCCTACCCCACCTTCCTTCCACTAAGACTGATACACTCTTGAAGTCATTATGTTTCGCTCCATTCTCTCTAAAATCCGAACCCCTCAGCAACCCTTCCTCAGCCCTCTGGACAACAGTTTTGGTAATCCCCCACCTCCTCCTAACTTCCAAACTACGAATTCTCTGCATTATATTCACACCACACATTGCCCTCACACATGACATCTCTACTGCCTCCAGCCTTCTCCTCGCTGCAACATTCATCACCCATGCTTCAAAACCCATATAAGAGCTTTGGTAAAACTATATTCTCATACTTTCCCCCTCTTTGCCTCCAAGGACAAGTTTCTTTGTCCCCACAGACTCCTAAGTGCCCCGCTCACCCTTTTCCCCTCATCAATTCTATGATTCACCTCAAATTTCAAGACCCATCCGCTGACACGTCCACTCTCAAATATCTGAATACATTCACCTCCTCCATGCTCTCTCCCTCCAATCTGATATCCAATCTTTCATCACCTAATCTTTTTGTTATCCTCTTTAACCTTACTCTTTCCTGTATTCACTTTTAATTTTCTTCTTTTGCATACCCTACCAAAATTCATCCACCAACCTCTGCAACTTCTCTTCAGAATCTCCCAAGGCACAGTGTCATCAGCAAAGAGCAACTGTGACAACTCCCACTTTATGTGTGATTCTTTATCTTTTAATCCACACCTCTTGCCAAGACCTCACATTTACCTCTCTTAAAACCCCCATCTATAAATATATTAAAACAACCACGGTGACATCACATATCCTTGTCTAAGGCCTACTTTACTGGGAAATAATCTCCCTCTTTCCTAATACTCTAACTTGAGCCTCACTATCCTCGTAAAACTCTTCACTGCTTTCAGTAACCTATCTCCTACACCATACACCTCCCAACAATCTGCCACATTGCCCCCTATCCCCCCTGTCATACACCTTTTTCCAAATCCATAAATGCCACAAAAACCTCTTTAGCCTTATCTAAATACTTTGACTTTTATGTTTCACTGTAAACCCCTGGTCCACACCCCCCCTTCCTTTCCTAAAGCCTCCTTGTTCATCTGCGCCCTATTCTCTGTCTTACTCTTAATTCTTTCAATAATAACTCAAACCATACACTTTACCAGGTATACTCAACAGACTTATCCCCCTAAAATTTTTGCACCCCCTTTTTGTCCCCTTTGCCTTTATACAAAGGAACTTTTGCATGCTCTCTGCCAATTCCTAGGTACCTCTACCCTTTTCCAAATACATTTATTACATAATTGCACCAACCACTCCAAAACTATATCCCGACCTGCTTTTAACATTTCTATCTTTACCCATCAATCCCGGCTGCCTTACCCCCTTTCATTTAACCTACTGCCTCACAACTTCCCCCACACTCAAAAACTGGCTCTTCCTCACCCCTAAAAGATGTTTTTCCCTCCTTGCCCTATACACGAAATCACAGCTTCCCTATTTTCATCAACATTTAAAAATTCCTCAAAATATTCCCTCCATCTTCCCAATACCTCTAACTCTCCATTTAATAACTCTCCTCTCCTATTTTTAATGACAAATCCATTTGTTCTCTAGGCTTCCTTAACTTGCTAATCTCACTCCAAAACTTTTCTTATTTTCAACAAAATTTGTAGATAACATCTCACCCACTTCTCTCAATTTGCTTTTCTTTTTACATTGCTTCACCACTCTCTTAACCTCTCTCTTTTTCTCCATATACTCTTCCCTCCTTGCATCACTTCTACTTTGTAAAAACTTCTCATATGCTAACTTTTTTCTCCTTACTACTCTCTTTACATCATTCCACCAATCGCTCCTCTTCCCTCCCGCACCCACTTTCTGTAACCACAAACTTCTGCTGACACTCTAACACTACATTTTTAAACCTACCCCATACCTTTTCAACCCCATTGCCTATGCTCTCATTAGCCCATCTATCCTCCAATAGCTGTTTATATCTTACCCTAACTGCCTCCTCTTTTAGTTTATAAATCTTCCCCTCTCTCTTCCCTGATGCTTCTATTCTCCTTGTATCCCATCTACCTTTTACTCTCAGTGTAGCTACAACTAAAAGTGATCTGATATATCTGTGGCCCCTCTATAAACATGTACATCCTGAATTCTACTCAACAGTCTTTTATCTACCAATACATCATCCAACAAACTCCTGTCATTTCGGCCTACATCATATCTTGTATACTTATTTATCCTCTTTTTCTTAAAATATGTATTACCTATAACTAAACCCCTTTCTATACTAAGTTCAATCAAAGGGCTCCCATTATCATTTACACCTGGCACCCCAAACTTACCTACCACACCCTCTCTAAAAGTTTCTCCTACTTTAGCATTCAGGTCCCCTACCACAATTACTCTCACTTGGTTCAAAGGTTCCTATACATTCACTTAACATCTCCCAAAATCTCTCTCTCTCCTCTACATTCCTCTCTTCTCCAGGTGCATACACGCTTATTATGACCCACTTTTCGCATCCAACCTTTACTTTAATCCACATAATCCTTGAATTTACACATTCATATTCTCTTTTCTCCTTCCATAACTGATCCTTCAACATACTGCTACCCCTTCCTTAGCTCTAACTCTCTCAGATACTCTAGATTTAATCCAATTTATTTCCCCCCACCGAAACTCCCCTACCCCCTTCAGCTTTGTTTTGCTTAGGGCCAGGACATCCAACTTCTTTTCATTCATAACTTCAGCAATCATCTGTTTCTTGTCATCCGCACTACATCCACGCACATTCAAGCATCCCAGTTTTATAAAGCTTTTCTTCTTCTCTTTTTTAGTAAATGTCTACCGGAGAAGGGGTTACTAGCCCATCGCTCCCGGCATTTTAGTCGCCTCATACGACACGCATGGCTTACGGAGGAAAGATTCTTTTCCACTTCCCCATGGACAATAGAAGAAATAAAGAAGAACAAGAGCTATTTAGAAAAAGGAGAAGAACCTAGATGTATGTATATATACAGTGGACCCCCGCATACCGTTGGCCTTACATAACGTTAAATCCGCATACCGCTACATTTTATCGCTAAGATTTTGCCTCGCATACCGCTAAAAAACCCACTCAAGGCTGTTCGTCCGAGACGCATCTAATGTGCGGCCTTAGCCAGCCTCACATGTTCTGCCAGTGGCATTGTTTACCATCCAGCCTCCGCGGTAACATCCAAGCATACAATCGGAACATTTCGTATTATTAGTGTTTTTGGTGATTTTATCTGCAAAATAAGTGACCATGGGCCCCAAGAAAGTTTCTAGTGCCAACCCTACAGGAATAAGGGTGAGAATTACTATAGAGATGAAGAAAGAGATCATTGATAAGTATGAAAGTGGAGTGCGTGTCTC